GGATGTCTTAAGAAAATCGCTGTCCCGCTCTCTTCTCTGTTAGCTTGAATGGTGGAGTGAGTGAGCAGCAGGGGTAAAAGCCTTAGTGGACAGAAGCATGGAGGAGGACTTCTGAATAAGTCAGGTCGTATGAATAACTTCCTAGTCACAGACCCACGGACAACGTAAGATACACACAGAAGGGAAAAGAAGGTAGTCGTTGCATGGAGCCTGTTTGTCTCAGGGATTTGGGCTCCTCCTTGTTCCTAAGCTATCAGCAGAAGGTCCGGCATTTTACCGAGGATAAAACTGAGGAGTTAATAGACTTCATCAAGGTCATGAGAAGGGCAAGTGACAAATTGGGGCAAGATTCCACACCCTCTCACTCACAGACCAGCTGCCAGTCAGTGTGCAAGGAGGACTGAGGGGGGTGAATGTTACAGGGGATGATACCCCAGGTTTAAACAGCAGTGATACCCCAGGGCAGAGGGCTACACTCTTCTAAAGTGCTGTCCCTATAGGGCAGAAGCCCTCTCTCTACAGGGGAGAGCTGAACACCGCATGAGAAGTCATGGATGTGAAAGCAACGGGAGGGAAGGAGTGTCGGGGGCTTCCCAGGGCCTAAGCGGGTATGGCTGGGACAGCTCTGTAAAGCAGTGGCAGAGAAGCTAAAGCCAAATCTTAAGTTAGAAAAGAGAAGACACAAATGGGACTGAGAGCAAAGGCAAGGCCTCACAAGGCACGAGCACGTTTCTCCTGGGGGATGCTTGATTACTGGATGCCTTTCATCAGCTCCTCACACCTGGCCTTTGAGTGGCTCTAGCTACCAATCTCTCCATTTCTAAAACGTCTTTACTTGAGGCATTAAAACTTCATGCAACTGTATAACTCTGTATAATAGTGAAGGGATAACAATGACAATAAAGTACAACGGCTAATATTTATCAAGTACTTTCTAAGTCTCAGATACTGGGCTTAGGGATCTATAGATTTATATCATTATTATGCCCATTGTACAGCTGAGGAAACCAAGGCTCAGCAAGTTGAAAACTTGCTCAAGGTCTGTCACCCAGTAAGCTGCACAGCCAGCATGTGAACAAGGCCGCCTGAGGAGCAAGCGGTCCAGAGCAAGCACCGGGGACGCAGGCTAGGATGCCAGCTTTCTAATTCTTATCCACAATGACTTGCTCTAATTCTTCCTTCTTCACTTTTCAAAAGATTTTCCTAAGTGTCATGTAGTTGACCAGTTTGCTTCTAGGTCAGGCAGCTGGAGACCCATGACCACAAGACCTACAACCAAAGACTCCAGGACACTTACAGGAAAAGGACACCACAAGTGGTCACATGGCTCCCTGGAGTTGACCAGGACAAAAAGTTCCATTTGGCAAGGCCACATGGCAGTACTATGAGCACTGACACTCGTAAATAAGGATTTGCACTTTGCACACAACCCAACTAACCTATAGCTGCAAATGAGACTGGAGAAGTAACAAAACAGAAAAATAAAGGAAAACAGAGACTCAGTTCTGCAGACCTCTTTGAAGAGGTTTGAGGAGAAAATCTGCAAATGGCATTTACCTCCATAGAGTTCTTGATCCAGGAAGGTAACGGCAAAAACACATGCACTTAAATCCTGCAGGGGACCCCAGGTTCTGACAAACTTGGTAGCATAAGGCCTGATTTTGGGATGAGGAAGGGAGATAGACAGGAGGTCATCGTTTTATAATTCAGGAGCTTGGAAAGAAATCAGTTCTCTAGAAAATCCAAACCATGGGTCTATTTGCAATCCATTTTAAACTGAAGAAAGGCATGTGAGCAAATCACTACCAGTAATGGCAGAACAGATCTTGGAGAGAGGTGGTTAGATGACTGCCCAGACCATTCCTGGGTGTTTCTGACAGTCTCAATCTAGCAGCACGTGTTTAACCCATTAATTTTCATTGCCTGCTAAGCCTCACAAAGGTAGAGTTTAGGGATAGCACTGAGATGGTCAGAAGCCTTGTAGAAAATACAGGAAACAAGAGGCATGTGTCCCTTGCCACAGCCACTTCCTGAAGCATAGCACCCATCTGGAGAAAGAATGACAGGGGGACCCTTGGTACCAATGCATTTGTGTGCAGATGGTAGTGACACTTCCCAGAAAGTAAGTTTCATCTGCTGCCTACAGAAGAGCTGCCAGCAGAGCTGGGGGAGCTGTTACACCCCACAGGCCAATGGCAGGGACAGTCCAGGAGTCTGTCCATGCAGACACCAGAGCTGCGTTAGGAGCAGAATGTTCCTCCGGGGAGTGCCTGGCAGAGAGGCAGAACAGGAGACCAGCACTAAAGCCTCCTCCAGACGTCACATTCTGAAGCCTGGCAAGATGTACAGGATTTTATCTTCCTTTCGTTTAACTGGAATAAAAGAGAAGACTAAACAGCAAAGGTTCCATCGTGGAAGCTTCTGAGCTTCTTGATGCCTTTAGGTGACAACACCGAGAGCTGTAATTGGTCCAGGTCAGGGACTGGGGTAGGGAACAATGATTAGAGAAATTCTAATGAAACAGGTAAGAGTATATTGTCCATGATGCAGAAGAGGAGGGAGATAACTTACAAATAACCCAGAGAGAAAAACAGCCATGAATTTTAATGCCTGCCCCCCATTAGCTCTCTCAAAGAACTAAAAATTCCCCACGGAACAACTCCCCTTGGGATAATGGCCTGAATCAAGTCTGGGAAGCTGGAGACCAGGGCACAAACGCATAGGGGGGTTGGCTTTAGGGGGGCTCCAGTGCACAACATGTTTCATTTCCAACAGATGCTCTTCCTAACGGCTCAAGGCAAGAATTGCCGCCTCTTTCCACTTTATATAGTGAATACAGAAATGCTATATGGTTGGTTATTCCAGGCCTCTGGGCTACGAATATTTAAAAAAAATGGCATGCAGACTCTCTTTCAGCTGCCTTCCTGAGCCGTCGCAGAACTGACCCTCATAATTATCCTGTCTCTGTTACTAAAATGCGATATGATACTACAGCATAATGTGTTCACATAATACAGAAAAATTCTGCTATAAAACAGCTTCCCTGGATAGACTTCATTATTCTGAAGGTCAACTCATGTCCCTGTACACAAAAAGTGTATGAGGCATCACTTTCATTACAATACAGATAATCTCTAAAAGCAGAGTTATCCTAAAACATTCCTGTGCTTCATAGCATTCCTCTGTGCAAATCCTACAATAGCCCCCCATGTCTTAGAGAGTGAAGTCCAAGGGGTGCTTGGACCACATTAGACAAGAAAAGTATCATGAATGAAAGACAGAGTCTTGGTATTCGAGGCTGTAATCTTCACCTTGTCTATCTTTCCAGCTTCGTCTTCCATAAATTCCATATACACATTTTCCAATCTGTTCTACCCTTTCTTTCAGTTTTCTGATTCCACAGCAATACTCTAGTTATACCCTCTGAGGGGAATACCCTTCTTCCGAGGGGCAGACATTTCAGATTCTCTATGTAACGTTCAGTGCCCATCCCATTCTTAGAGACTTTTTATTCTGTAGTAGTCATTTGCCATTTCTAACCAACTGCATTGCATTATTACTTTTTCACATTTTCATTTTATTTAGTTTTACAACTAGAAGATGCACTCTTTAATACCACTCCTACTTATATGTACATTTGAACCAGCAGAGTCTCTTGTCTGAATGTAGTTTCTGATTCAGGTCTGGTGGAGCCTGCTAATCTGCATTTCTAATGGGTAGACCACATTTTGAGTAGCAAGGCTTTGGACTTTGTAAAGTCCTCATGATGCTGCCCAACTGACAAGATTCTTATCTCTTCCTTATAGTGAGCCAAAGCCTCACAGATAGGTAACCTCCCTGGTTCATGGACAGTAGAGCCAGGAAAACGTCTCCCGTCTTTGGAATCCTTCTACCCCAGGAAGCTCTTCCCTTGGGACAAGGCTGAATTGTCCAGTTTTTCATTTTCTTTTGGGCCTCAAGACGACGAAAACACTGCCTGTAGTGGGTGCTTGGTAAATATCTGTTTCCTAAGAGTAGTGTCAGAAGATGGATTGTCTACACTGCCCTCTCCTTTTCCTGTGAACCAGCCCACAAGCCTTTCTTTCTGCTGGCAATGCCTCTCCCACATGTCTCCCCAAATAGGATTCTCTCTTTAAAACTCTGGTTTGAAACCTTTTCAGAAGGCATTAAAATATGACCCCATCTGGCTTTCGTCATCCTGTTTGTCTAGGAAAATACACTGACTTGCAACCTTTCTATATTCCCAGATATGTGGCTCTCAGAAAAATCGTTAAAGCTCTTTTAGGGTACATTTGGAAACGCATGCTGCAGATAATAGGTATCTGTAAAAAGAGTGAAAGTGATTTAAAAAGCTATAAACATTCTGTAAATAGGGAATATTTATATTACTATATATATACAGTTTCCTATATCTCTACTGCTCTATTGCCTATGCCATTTTATCTTTTTTTTTTTTTTTTTTTAGCTTTCTAGGCAGAGACTGTTTCTTTCTGTAAAGGCCTGGAGCTATCAGGAGCCCCAATCATTTATGGAGAGGAAATGAGATGCAAAGATGTTAAACCAAGTCCTCCCAAGATGTCACAGGTTCGGAGGGGCGGAGGCGGGAGGTGAGCCAGGACTTCTGACCCAGAGCAGCCTCCTTCCCTGTCAACCACTGTGCCTCCTCGTCTGTAACGAAGCAGCAGTGAGAGGCACAGCACCAAGCTCAGGGGTGTGTGCACTGCGGGTATTAAGTCATTGCCACATCTGAGAAGGATGCTGGAACTCATGCAGTCTAATCCTCTTAGTCTCTGGTACAGATGAAGACAGTGAAGCAAGAGAAGTCAAGCCAAGACTCTCTGGGAGCCCCATGGCTTGTTAGGAGCGAGTCAGCTGAGTCACAGTCCAGTGCTCCTTCTCCTATATGCCAACAACCTTTGTGCATAATGTGGTTCTGTAGACAGGGAATGAGAAGCGCCAATTGCTCCTTTGTGTAGCTGGAAGCACTGCCCGGGTTGCAGTCTACTCATAGCCATTAATAAGTGCAACTGTGCTTGGGTTTCACAGCGTGTGTGACTTTCAGAATAAATTGTATTTCATTCAAGGGAACAGCTAAGCCGAATTTTTGTGTTTCACTGGTTCTCATCAAAGTATCAAGTTCAATGACACAAACATGCAGACTGACAATTCAAATCAGAATAAAAGGATAATTCTTTAATCCACTGACTTTTGTATTCTGCCAGGGACATTAGTTCTTATGCAATTAGCATTTCCTTTATAATACTAGGAAACCTGGGGAACCTTAAAGTGCAGGGCAGGGAATAAGAGGAGAGTTTCTTAATTTATCTGAAAGTTCAGAACTTATATTTATGCTGTACATACCAACTATCCCTATTATTTGTCTTGATTTCTTAAAAAATGATAGTATAAAGCCTAGTCTTCACCAAAGACGGTGCAAAGGACAGGAGATAGACAAGTTCACCCAGCTCTCCCTGGATTTCCCTTCGACTCACGGAGTTGGGATGGGGGAGGGTGGTAGGCAGACTTACCATTTTCAATTTCATAATCAGCGAAGGCGAGTTCAGAGCCTTTGTTGGTGATCAGCAGCTCCCCGTTAAGTGTGAAGATCATTGAAGCATCATCCAGGTTAATCATACATCCAACTACATCTCCTGGCTGCCAGGTACGTCCAAAATACCCACTCCCTTGATGCCAACACTGGCCCTAGGAAATAAGACCCCAGGGCTTAGAGAACCGGAAATCCTAGAAGCCCCCAGACAGCTGCAGAAAGGGCCAAAAAGCAATTTCTCCTACATGGCAGTGGTGCCTGGTTTCTACAGGGCACTCATCTCTACCAAGGACAGGTCACAGGGAGGAGTGATCTAACTTATAGATCAGGGATCGGCAAACTGTGGCTCGCGAGCCACATGCGGCTCTTTGGGTACGTACATGTGGCTCTGAAGTAAAATTGAAAATGAAAATAAAACTATCAGTTTCATTTATAAAATTTTTAAAGGATATTATTCACATAATGGTGATTTCATTTGTCTTATGGCTCTTGAATAATTTGTAAATTGTTGTGAGGAACAGGATTGGCTCTTCCGTCTCAAAAGTTTGCCGGCCCCTGTTATAGACGAATGAAACCAAGATACAGAAGGCTCATCAGAAAAGGTGGCCCAAGCCTCCCAATACCTAGTTAGCTATGACAGTAAGCAGGACTCTCAAGGGCAAAGTGGTAAGACTTCTCCAGACAATGGCCGCATAGTGTTCTGTGAACCTCCTTTGGAATGGAAGCAATGGGCTCAAGTGCAAGGGCAGATACGCAAGTGATTACAGAAAGTACGTGGGTGTACAGTCCTCCCCTTCACCACAGCAAAGAGCAAAGTGACAATCACTAGGTAATGATCATTTAATGGTTTAAATTAGCCAGTTGTGATGTCCATTCATTTTGAAGCCAGAGACCCAGACACTCATTACTCCCAACTTCTGGGGAAATGTTTGGAGGGGGAAAAAAAAATGGACTGAGGATGTGTGGACACTGTCGAGACTCACCCTGCTGCCTTCAAACACAAAGGCTTGGTCATCGGCCCCCAGCTCAATGTCAGGCCGACAGCCTGGCCTGGCCCAGCCAACACGCATGTCTCCTTCGGTCACCACCTCAAACTCAAAATACCACTTTCCAGATCTCACCGCATAAGACTGTTCTACCCGGAAAAATCGAATCTTGTCTATGCTGACTTTCTCCATAGCTGGGTCAGCTATTGAGAGAAGGGAAGGGAGTAGAGAGTGTAGGTGGGAAAGAGAGCACACAGAACTTTAATCATTAGGTAGCATTCCTCAATAGAATTTGACAACAAAGACTGGATAGACAGATCTTCCACTATCTAATATAACATTCTGTTCACAAGAATCATTTTTTATCATCACATAATAACAATACAAGCTACCATTCACTGAGTGATTACTTTGTAGTACATCCTTTAGGGCAGCGGTTCTCAACCTTCTTAATGCTGCGACCCCTTAATATACTTCCTCATGTTGTGGTGACCCCCCAACCATAAAATTATTTTCGTTGCTACTCTATAACTGTAATTTTGCTACTGTTGTTAATCATAATGTAAATATCTTTTTGTTTTTCGATGGTCTTAGGCAACCCCTATGAAAGGGTCGTTCGACCCCCAAAGGGGTCGCGACCCACAGGTTGTAAACCACGGCTTTAGAGACTGTCTCAGATTTTCCTAGCAATAATCTTATGAGGTTGGTAATATTGTCTTCATTTTACAGATGAAGAATTGAGGCTCAGAGAGGTTGAATCACTTGTTTGAGGTCACCGAGCCAATAAACCAAGGAGAGCAAGGATTTGAACCCAGGTTTATCTTACTCCAAATGCATCCCCTTAATCACTTGTAATACTGCCCAGTGGCCTGGGACCTGCTGGGGTATGGGATCACAATGATATGTTCATCGATTATAAACTGGTGATTTTAATCAGCGTTAGAATTTTATTTAGGGATGAGATTACCTGGTCCAAAAGTAAGCTGATATTCACATGTTTGGAAAATACAAGAAATGAAGGTAACTGTTTGTGACCAAATAACCTGAGAAGCTCAGCTATCCTGGAGGATAACTTATTCCCTGCAGGATTGGGGTATAGACATGCTCATCATAAACACATCTGTCAAGGGGACAATGTTTTACTATCAAACATGGTTCTCCTCACCCGTCCCCCCACCCCCACATTTCTCAAAATACACCATTTAGTTTAGTGCTCCTCAGCACTAATATAATTTTTAATGGTGCAAGTTCGACCTACTCAATGTTAGCATTTCCTCAGAAGAGGACCTGTTTAGTAAGTTGGGGCCAGAACAAACAATCTCCACTCATTACCTAGTTCTTGGTCTGATGGCTCGATGTTATAGCCATAACCAACAAATGTCCGAACAGCTTCACGAAGACTGTCCCTGTTGGACTTCTTGGTACGCTCATCCAGTAATGCATATGGCACCAGACGGGGGTTTCTTTTGTTCTTCAAATCCTATGTGAAGCCAGAGAAAAGAGGTTCTGAGAAAATACATTTTGCATTTACAAATAGTTTTTCTCACTTACACATCCCAGGAATAGTACTGGCTTCCTCATATGAGTCTACTGGCTCTTCCCCCAGTGCCTTGATATATAGCAATGTACATATTTACTACTTCTCTTCAGGATTAAATGAGTGTAAATGGGAAATTTTTACTAATGTTCAAAGCTAGCATTAAAAAAACACATTTTAATAATGCTAGCCTGTGAATAAAATGAAGTGCATAAAATTGGTTAGAAATCTCCAATCCCAAGGCAAGGCAGATGGGGATTCAAGTAGCAACCCCCTATGGAAGATGATGCCATGATTTAAACTTAACACAGAAACATCATAGAGAAACATCAGAAAAGGTGGCTGAGCCACAGTGGGTCCATTTCATTGCAGTATGCACACATTTGTATTAGAGTTCTCCTCAGGTCCTTAGGGAGGACTAAGAAGATAATTATGACAATTGCAGTGATAAGTCGTTGTAAATAAATATGCTTGACATGCTGTTTGAACCTCCCTCCCCTCCCTGCCATGTTTTCTGCTGCTGTGGTCTTCTTGGATCCCACACACGTAGGTTCAGAAGCCCAGGTATGAATGAAAGTGTGTGTGCCCAGCTACCCCGAAACTTCCCTGACGCTAACCCTGGTACTTATCGAGATGAGGGAAGCATTTCAAGAAGAGAAGTGTGCCAGAGGGCTTGGGCTGAACCCTGGCTCCACCGAATTCCTTGCTGTGCCTTGGCTCTTAGGCTGCCTCCTGCTCAAGCTAAGAATCTTGGTTGCCCAGGAATCTTGGCCTGATGGGCTGGAGTAAGGGGGCACTGGCTTCCTGGAAGGCTGGTTTGCCTCTCTCCTGGGCTAGCATCCTTCCTTTTCACTCTCAGGGGTCGACACTTGGGACCATCCCAGAAATACTGCGGAGCTGTGACGCTGATTTGTGCGAGCCTTACCCCGCCCTTGGAGAGTGGCATGAAAGCTCACCTCTCCACAAGGCATGCAACAAGACAGGGAGGAAATGACAGCAGATGCAGCCAGTGGGCACATACACAGGGCAACACGATCATAAGTGAAGCAGGCTAACAATAGAAAGATAAGCCTACCCTTTTCTGCAAAATTGGAATTGTGCCTGGAGTTAATGTCATTGTGACCCATGAGTCTATAAATAATGTATGTGCTGAGGCAGGAGGGACAGAGTTCAAGGACAACCTTTACCTTCCAATCTAATGCCCACCAAAGAAAAACGGCATGGTGACAGATGATCACATCTCCTAACTTTTCCAGCGGGCCTGACCCAGCACTTCTCACCTGTTGAATGCCATAGGTCCATCCTTGTTTTATTCTGTCTTTTGCCCAAACATTATGTGCATTTTCTGCCAGCTTATCCACTAAAATTTCCTGAGGAGGTAACAGCTTCACATCAGACAGATCCAAAGGGGCCGGCTTATAGCCATTGGACATCATGTAGCTACAAGAAAATGGAAAAAAGAAATATTTTGAATGGATCTGTATACATCCCCCATTCCAGATTCTAAACCAATAGTGCATGGTAAGAACACTATGAAAATATGGCTACAGTCAGTCACAGGTTCTACCCTGTTGCATAATGGATAGCTCAGTTCTATTTGAAGTCCACGGATGAAGCCCCTTACCTACCATCCTTTTTGCCAATGTGTGTGACATCCTTTTTACCTACCAGATTCAAAGGAGACTGTTGGAGAAAGTGGATGGTCTGTGTAAATCCATCCTTATTTCTAAGAAAGCACTTATGTGCCCTACAAATAATGGGCTCATTTAGTAAGCTGTAATATTACCAGAGGTTCCTTCATCCCATTTTAAAACACAAAAGGTTCTAACCACATCGGCAAGGACGGGACATCGAGCCAAATGGTTTCTTATAGATCAGCAGAGAATGATTGACTGTTCAGTCTTAGAAAGTTAAACCTTTACTTTGGGAATTACAAGGAAAAATCATGGCCTTAGAGAATCTGTGAGCTTGAACTGACCTTAGTGTGTCCAGTCCAGGGGTCAGAGGCTCAAATGTTTTTAATTTGGTGGATAATGTGAAGATGGGAAAAAGCTCAGTACAAGCCCAGGAGGATGTGCTGTGTGTGTGGCGAGGACCAGGGCACACTATGGAGTGACTCTCAGGAGAGCAGCTGGTCTTGGCCACATGGGAACATGAGTCCAGAGGCTATGGCTCGAGGGCCATTAAGTGCCCAGACTAGGGCCATAATCTAAATGTGATGACTTATAGACCAAGGCTCACTCCATCCAGGAAACCTCTAAGCTGCTTGAGGTTCAGGGTCTACTGTAGGCATAAGATACTGCCCCTCATGCTCTTGGGCAGCGTCAACAGGCATCGACTGCTGAGCACTGATGCCAGCAGCTTGGCCAGCAGGGGCACCTCTGTCTGCTGCCTCTCAGCTGTGCTGCGCTCAGCTGCTGAGAGTAAAGCTTGGAAGCTTGGGAGTTGAGCAGGGAAGAAGGGAAAGACAAGCATGTGATTAACGTTGGCACAGCCTTGGCTCATAACTAATTATGACACCTGTGTGAATGTGTGTGCTCCAAAGGCTGGTGCATGTGAGGGAGAGCATGCAAGCGAGCCAGGGGACGTGCCAGTGAGCACGTATCTGAACGTACCAGCACATGGGACTCTGAATGTACAGGCGAGAGAAAGATTTGTACGCGTGCAGATGTAGGGGTTCAAATTACACCTTGGCAGAGACAACCATTCCCACGATGGATTTACAAGGCTGGCCCAGTGCCAGAGGAGTGAATCTTTGCTGTGACTACCAGCCATGGCCAAGCTCCTGGGCCAACTGCTATTTTTAGAGACCAAAGACAGTGCATCCATCTGAGAGCACCGTATCTTTTGGCTCAGAACTAACGATAGTATTGTAGGTTCAGGCAGGAGGAGCACAAAGAGGGGAAGGCTGGGGACACCTGCAGGTCAGCAGGCTTCTGTCTGGGGGCTTCAGCGCAGTCTAAAGGAGGAGCTGTACTGAGCTGGCGCTAGCAAGTACGTGGGTCTGCCACCTGCCTTCGTGCGTGGGCTCCCATACCCCTTGTTTAAAAATTCAAACTGAAGCATTCAAGTCTTGAACCATTAAACAAAAATCACCTACTTTTTGGACAGTTTGACCTTCTTGAGAGCCTCTTCAGCAGCTGGATTAACATGAGCGATGTGGCATCCCAAGGCCAGGAGGGTCCTGTGACATAACAGAAGAAAAAGACTAGGGCCAACAGTAAGGTAAAGGACAGCAAGAACCCTACCCCACATCTGAGTTGATAAAAGTGAATGACAACAGTCATTCATTTAGACCAGGGGCCACCATGCTTTTTCTGTAAAGGGCCAGAATGTACACGTTTCTGCTTCGTGGGCCATGTCTTTCACAACTACATAGCTCTGCCATTATAGAGAGAGAGCAACCATCAACAATATGCAAACCAATGAGCTTGGCCCTGTGACAATAAAACTTTATTTACAAAAACAGGTGGCTGGTCCGACTGGCCCATGGGCCATAGCTTGCCAGCTCCAGATTTAGATAATAGCAAACATAAGAACATAAAAAAAGAAGCTCATTTAATAGCCCCACTTAGAGACATTTTCAAATTTGCATTAGGATTGTAGCCTGCTTCTCTGATTCTAGGGAACAGATAGGATCCTCACAGCAAATCCCCAGGTCAGCAAGTATTTACTGTGTGCTCTCTGTACACACAGGTGCTCGATGGCATGAGGTACCAGAGCCGCACCCTCAAGAGGCTTCAGGGTGATTGAAGACTTCACCTATGTGAGCCTGAGACAGGGCAGCGTGATAGAGCATTGTTAGGCCAACAAAACCACATTAACACGTTCTACGCTGACAACAAGGGAACAGAAATACAACACAGAGAGAACAGGCAACAAGCACAACAGGAATTCAAGATGGGAGACACCAACTTGCGCTAAAATAATTCGAGTCCAAATTAGGCTTTTAACCTTGGGTGGGATCACAGAGAAACTAAAAGTTGTTTTTAAATTGAATTTTAGTGAATCAAACTGTTTTCCCATTGGTTTTTAGAAATGTTTTATCCTTGCTTCTTGATTTAATCTGCAAGAGGCAGTTGGTCCTTTGATTCTAAGTTTCTCTTCTTTTTTTCTGCCACCATTTCCCGTCCCTGTCAATCAGCAAATGGCCTCTAAAGAAATACAGATGCTCAATAACAATCAATGGTGGAAACGTTATTCACTATGCCAGATCCTTCTGTGGCATGAATAATCACCCTCCAATTTATCAGAACGCATCATGTTTTCCAGGCAAGAGACATATCTTTGCAGTTTGTTATAAGGCATTAAATCATCCACTCTCTTGTCCAAATTCAACTCAATTAAACACTCACTTTAAGGTTTCAGTTGACATTTGTAGGTTATAATTCTTCTCAGTTTCGGGCAGCTTGGAAAACTCCACAAGGCAGGGGTGTTGTCTTTTATTGTCATCCCGTATCTAGGTGACAACATAAAGAATGTAATTTAAGTGTGACAGCTGGCACTGCCACAGAAAACAGAAGAGGACGCACTTTGAAACATGGCCCGGATGATCTATATCAGGCGAGACAAAGACAGCTATTTGCTGATAGGCGAATAGATGATCTTCTCTCTAGTAAATGGTACATACAGTCCCCAAGTTGCCAGTGGCTTGTGCTCTGTGGGTCTGTTTCTAGTCAGGTGTTTGCACTGAGAACATACTTTCCCAGAGAAGCAATTTTACACGTGGCAGCAGCCATGCTCCTGCCTGTCCCAAATTGATGGAACCAGAATGCTACTGAATGGGAGTGTTCCCAGAACATAAAGGACTATAGGGTCTGGACCGGTGCTGTCCATGAGAAACATAAAGTCTGCCACACATGTCAACCACATTGGTAATTTCAGAGTTTCTAGTAGCCGCATTACGAAAGCAAAAAGAAAGAGATGGAATTAATGTTAACAATGCATTTTATTTAACCCAATGTAGCAAAAATATTACCATTTTCATAATGAACACAAGACATACTTTATTAGACATTTTATACTATTGTTGACAGTAAGTCTTCAAAATCTGGTGTGTAGTTTATACTCACAGCATATCTCAGTTCAGACTAGTCTCATTTCAAGTACTCAATAGCCACCTGTCACTCATGACTATTGTACTGGACAGCACAGATTCAGACATTCATTCATTCATTCAACAAATATTTGTTGAGTGTCTACTATGTGATAGGCACTGAGCTAGACATTAGGAGTTCATTCCGTGGTGAGCTGGAATAGCCTCAGCCTCATGAAGTACACAGGCTAATGGGGCAGGGAACAATAATAAACGAATCATAAAATAAAGGGAACATCGCACAGTTGTGCTTAGTTCTCTAAAGGAGAGATGGTGGTGTTATAAGAGCATACAGCAGAGAGGTGGCCAGGTTTAAGGAGAGTATTTCATGGTAGCTCTATCAACATATATATGTTAGAGTGCAGGCGCCCTTTCAGTAAGTAAGCTGGACCACGCATAATTTGAGAGCATCAGGGTCACAGGAAGCTTTAGAGCTCACCTATCCTTCTGCCTTCGGATATGACCTTACACAAATCACAGGACAAAGTCAATTTACAGCCTCTCCGAAAAATGCTTTCTAGTGAAAGAGATTCCTTAACCTCCTGTGAAGTGTCCATTAATCTTAGTGATACATCTGAAAACTATATTAAACAAAGTCTGATTCAAAACAAGACATCAGCCTCTTTTCACCAGCCATGCAGAGAGGACAGCTGTTTCTGAAAGGAAAGGGGGACCTGAGGGTCCGAAAGCAGGTGCTGAGGAACAACCACCCTCAATAGTCTCGGAACAAAGGAAACCAGCATATGGGAGTAAGAGGGACTAAATAGATTCCTGGGTCTGTCTGTGCAGAGCTTGTCTTCTCCGCACTTCTGACTGCTCTAGACTAACAACCGAGCAAGCCTGCTGCGAATGCAGTGGAAGCTAGACAGGCGATAGTCAGAAGGAGCGGGTTTTGGCTCATACGGTTCCTCTCCTCATTCGAGTCTTTGCAGAACTTTTCCAGGGAACAAGGCAACCCAACCCTGCACCTCAGCCTGGCCACTGAAACACATACCTTGCCAAAAGTCCAGCCAAGCTCTATTTTATTCATTCCCCAAAGCTCGTGGATGTTTTCAGCTAGTCTGTCTCGGATCTTCTCTAGGTGAGATGGCAAGACAACCTGCAAGGAAAAGGAACAAGCGGGAAGTCAGAACGATAACAGCCAATTGTACTGCGATCTGTCATAAAATCTATATGGATCATGTGCCCGGGTTGAATTCATGACACGTCACCCAGGAGGAGGAGCGGCTTCCAGAGATTCTTTCCTCTCTTGGCTTCCTTTCTGCCTGCATCCTCTCAGTCTTTTTGCAGATATTCGTGTTGCATGTTCCTCACATGTGAATGCTGCCCTGGGCCTTACCTCCCCTTTCTCCATGCTTTCTCCTTGGGAGATCTCACCCACTCGTAGATGGTCACTCAAAAATAAGTACATCTCCAGCTATGGTCTGTCCTGAAGTTCAGACCCATGGTTCCAACGACCTACAGGATTTTCCCACCAAAGTGATCTCAATAGGTTCTCCAAAGATGAATTCATTATCTTTCCTTTAAAGTGTTTCTCTCTTCCCGCTTTTCTTTTTTTGTTGTTGTTGTTGAATGGCCCCACCATTGCTTCAAACCTGGAAGCCACCCTAGTGTCTTCCCTTTTGGCATGACCCCTCACACCCTCAATCACAAAATCTATCATGTTTATTTCCTAAGCGTCTTTCTGAAGGACCCCTGCCTCTACATCACTCCACCTCATTATTTTCTCCCTGGACTGTTGCAAGAGCCTCACAGTTGGTCTCCCCAACACCCCACCATCTATCCTCCACACTGTGGCCAGAGTGATAAATCTATAGAAACAAAACCACACTGCAATGCTCTCCTCCTGAGTGTCCCCAACTGTTCCTTGATACTCCTAAGACACCGACTAGATGTATTAACCAAGCATACAGCACCCTTCTTCAGATTTCTCATCATAGTCCTCCCAAATGTATCCTTTCTAAGCTTCTTAACATTCTCCTAAAAGGTCACACTGTTCCAAGTTCCGTGCCCTTACATATATAACCTTTACCTTATTAATAGCTCCCATGACACACATAATATGTTCACATACTTGCACTCCTCCACTCTATGTGGCAAATGACAAACACTCTCTCTTTGACCAGACTCTAGACAGGTGCTTCTGAGCCCTTTTTTTGACTAGGCTCTGTCCTTGGCCTTGTCTTCAAGACCCATGTTTTAGCAAGAATCCTGCTAAATCAGTTTAGCGAGAATCCACCACCCTTCATATCTGATCACCTTCCATGTGTGACCAAATTTCCTCATACCCTACCATCCCCCAGGGGACAGCGGATCACTCTGGCCTGCCTTCAGCTAGAATCCTGTTAGACTCCATCCTAGCCCCTGATGCTCCCACTTGGTAATTTTCCATCACTGACCCCCCCACACACTCCAACCCCACCCCCCAATCTGCTCCTTGGTTAGAAATCCCCACTTGTTCTTGTTGTATTTAGAATTGACCCCAGCTCTATACTGGAGTTCCTTTTCCCCTATTGCAATAGCTCTTAAGTCAAATTTGTCTTTACTGCTTTACTGGCTGTTCGGCTATGGTTTAAATACAAACACCCTCAACAGTTAGCCTAAATTTAGCTTAGATGTCACCACCTCTGGGAAGTCTTCCCCAGTTACCTTCAGGGAGAGTTTCTCTGTGTTTTCCTGGCACTTGGCTCATATCTCTCCACAGAGGCCACAAGCTGGGGGCCCAAGTTTACTACTACAAGAGTAAACCAAACTGCAACTGTATTTGGATTTTATTGGTTAACTAAGATAATCTGTTTAAGTGCTCCTTAGTTGATCGCAGCCTGAAATTAGATTTGCATGTCAGAGGAACCAGAGAGGAAAAAATGTGGAAAGAGGCTGCCACAAACAACCTGAATTATAATTTCAGTAAACTCAGCTGGTGACTGTGTGGGACAGGGTGACACTGGTTTGTAACTGCCTCCTGGGTGTCTGGGGGCTGGGCTGCTCAGAGCTGGGTTCTTTTCTCCCCACGCTCAGCCAGGGGTTGGGGCTGGTTTAAGCACTGAGCACTGTTAGTGTGGAAGGACAGAACTCCAGTGAGCGATGCCTAATCTACAGAGTGGTTGACGTGCTCCACGAAGCATGGAGTAGGCTCTGTATGAGTATCTGATTTTTAAAACTCCTCCTTTGACAATAATTTCACAGCATATTAGATTCTAAAATATTACAAGGTCTCATTCAAGATAATAAACTGTACATTCCCAACAAAAACGTCCCCACTATTTGATTTTCCAGCAACACTTTCCTAGTCCCAGCATCCACACAAATTTAGCTTTGGGTCCAGACAGCTACGTGCTTCGGGCCTGTGGATTTATCTCCACTATATGATTTCCAAATATTCAGTGCTGCATGTTTAGAAACTCTTCTCACTCTTTGGTCAGCCTTCCTTCCGTCCCTCATCAAAACTTCCCTTCATTCTTTGGAACTCTCTTAGAGGTCCCTTTCTCCCAGGAAGCCTCTTCTGAGTGACGTATACTGTTATGATGGCTCCACGGGGAGGGTGGCACAGAGAAGTAGGAATCGCGTTTCTGCTCATGTTCTCTCTCTGCTTGGGCCCTAGCAGCTTGTGTCCATGGAAAAGCTAATTGAGGTCTTTGGCCCTCCAGCTTCTTATCTAGAACACACAGGAACCAGATGATCGATTTCTAGGACGACCGCTGGCTCACAAACTCCTCCCCAGTTTCCTCTTGAAATGCTCAGCTCCAACTACTTTCCAGGCACTGTACTAGGCTCTACGAAGCAGACAGAGAAATGCTGTGGTTTCTAGTCGATGGGATTTCCCCAGCATGAACTACAGGAGGTGAGAAGTAAGTTCATGAACATGCACACACAGGGGAATGTGACATAATATTCGCAACATTTACATGAATATTATGGCAAAATACAAGTTTGAGACTATCTACAGGCTAAAAGAGCTCTACATTCCTACAAACTCTGAACCCAAGTACCTCAGAGACAAGGGCCCTTTTCATTTATTTCTGTATCTTGAATAATGATTTGAGTAGCACTGATGTGTAGGAAATACTGAAAGCTGCTGTATGCCCCTCATCATAACTGCGTGAACGTGTTTCTTCCAGAATAAAGACTCTAGAAAGGGGAAAACATGTCTATTTATCAGCACTTTCAAAGTCCTCCTCGCTATCCCATTTCTTTCAGTTTTACTTCCAATTCTTTCCCAAAATGTTTCTCCTTCTCCAAGTGTCCATTCACATGGGAATATTCATGATCACCTGTCCCTCATTTGCATTTTTACTTCTCAGCCCTTATTTATCCCATTCCCGTTACTTCACCCTTGGATGCCCAGCCCCAGTTAAGCTTATTAACAGCTGTGCTTGAATTCTATCCTAACACAGACTTCGAGAAACATAATAGCCGAAAGGGTATTTCTAGCACTGACTTGTGCAAACTCTTCATTTTGCATTTATTACATTTAGACTTCAACAAGATGATACATTTACTTCTTACCGCTTCAACTTGGTTATGAATTCCCAGAGACTACTGAAACCTTTCTGCCTATGCTTCACAGAGCCTAGTACAGTGCCTTGCATGTAGCAAGGACGCAACTTGTTTGTTGGCTGAGAAATCCCTAAAGAGCTCAACCTACTCACATATGGTAGAAACACGCAGAATAGCAGTTGTTCACATTATATCACAATTTTACAGAATATATAGTAAGAACGGTACAAAGACAACACAGAAAGATGAAGAATGTAGCCCAATTACTTCATGGCCTCCTGCTGGCAGCTTGAACCTACCTGACTGGTGTTTATGGGGCATGGGATGAAAGAGGCTTGGGAGAGGAACTGGGTGGTGCCCAACAGATCTCTGATGCCTTCAGCATCACGTTTATATTCTTTGACAGGCTCCAATCTCATCTTTTCTTTGGGAAGTAAGGCTTCATAACAAGGGGCATAGCCCGAGGGAGGCAGAAACTTGAATTCTCCATGACGTCCACCCATCAGGAAACGTACTCTGTGCCATTTGGAGAGATGAGAGAGAGAGAAAGAGAGAGAAAGAGAGAGGTTACAAAAATATCCCAGACCATGGAGGTGAAAATTCAAGATCAGTTCCCGCCACCCCCAAATTATTTTGTTGGGAAGTGACTGAATTTAGCTTCAGCACAGCTAACATTCTAAAGTGGGCAACAAAGCAGCGGAAAGAGAACCGAGTGTCAGTGCGTGATTCTCAGCTGACTTATGTCAGCTAAGTTCTTAAACATTAATTTGAATGTTAATATCACTAGGTTTTAAAAAATTATCCTTACTCTAGTAGTTAACTCATTACTCTAGATATGATTACTAGAGTATTAAAAAGAATAACAGTGATGATGACATTATTCTCTGAAAATATCATATTGGAATTATAGCATGAGAACCTTAAGTCTTTTTACTTGAGGGAGATTACTCACACACCAATTAAAGGATGCAGATATAACTATGTGAGGAAAATTGGAACTTCTTATTTTAAGACGCAGGCAAAAGATTAAGCAACACCAGAGTATTAAACACAAATGGTGTACGCGTACATGCCAGGAGACGTGAATAGAAACAATATTCCAAAGGCTGCAGTTCCCCAAAGCAGCCATATGAGGGCGACTCTGAGGAAGCATCAGCAGGTGGCCACCACCCTAAGGGACCAAAAGGGAACAAAGTGTTTGCTCACTAGCGTTCCAGACTTTCTCGGGGGCACCCCTACCCTGCTGGCTCACTTCAGCAGTGCCCGCAGGGACCTCCCAAGGAAGGGGAAAGGACACTTGGGGCTCATAGTAATGGCAGGCACTAATTGCCAATACACTGAAGTCTTCCAATGTTTTAATTTAGCATTCTGGCTGAATTTCAGCCCCATATCTGTAGGTTAGGTTAGGGCTAGGGTTAGACCCCCAAAGCTCCCCCTGCAAGGAGGAGAGAGTGAAAGTGAACTATTTCAAAATGATACTTCATACGCTCCTAGGTTTGTAAGTAGAAATGTCACTTTTGCAAATCAACTGCAACCAGATTAAAACTGATGAGGAAATATTACTGAAGTTTTAAGTAATTAAAACATGGTAAGATATATAGCCCAGCAGGGTCAACAATTTCACACAGGAAAAATCAATACATACACAAAGTACCTGCACACAACACTCCCTCCCTCCATTGAACAACTACTGGGTCGTCCAGAAAGTCGTGATGTGTTGTTGCATTGAAAAACATAGAAAAATACGTCATGACTTTCCCGATGACCCAATATTTACTGAGCACATATGACTTTCAATGTCCTCTGCACTAAGGATTCAGCAATGAACAAAGCATACCACAGGCATCCAACTAGACAAATAGGCCCAATTACTGACTGGGAGACATCTGATGAGGGAATAAAGAGGGAGGTGTAAAATAACTCAGGGAAAGGTGTTGCTCCTGTATTGGAGACAAGGAAGGCCTCTCTAAGGAGGAGACAGGTGAGCTAACCCTGTGAGGGACAAGGAGAAGCCAACAAGTTCAAAACCTGGAGGAGGAGCATTCCAGGCAGAAGAACAGCACATGCAAAGGCCCTGAGGTAGAGAAGAATGTGGGTGGAAGGTGGTGTGGTGAGAACACAAGAACCCAAGGGGCAGGAGACGAGGCTGGAAGGGGCAGGGCTAGATCAGGCAGGGTCTGTAAGCCATGGTAAGGAGTTGGGATTTTATTTCTGATGGGAAGCATCTGAGGGATTTTAAGGAGAAGAAATGTAAGACTTTCCAAGTTGTCTTATGTATACAGGCCTGGCAACTAATGAGGAGGCACTGGAGGCACCTGACACCCATCTAGTCACAATGAGAGAGGAGGGTGTGTGGGACCAAGGTGATGATGACCAAGGTGGGAAGCAGCAGTCAGATCCCACTTGTTTTGGAATGAGAAATGGTAGGAATTGCTAACAGAGTGCACATGTGTGTGGAGGGGGATGAGGTATATGGAGGAAGGACTATGATCTAACAAAGTTCCCACAGCAACACTCTCCGCGAGGCCTCTCTTCCTTTAACTGAAATATTCTGGTAGAGCAGCTTTGTAAGCGAGTCTCAGTGTTTATTGGCTAAGTAATTATGATTGTGGAATGCCTAATTATGAAAATGGAAAATAAAAATCTCCCCAAGTGAAAGGCATTAAGGGTTTTTCCCCTTCCCAATACAAATTCTTTATCCAAAGAGCATTTTATAAAATGCTGTTTTGAAATTAATTATCGAAATCATATGAAACCTTCCACTTTCCCGTTTTAAAGCACTAAACAACAATGATACAGAATTAGAATCACAATAACCTCTTGTGAATGTTCCTGCATAAAATGTTCTGTAATAGGGCGTGATCTATGTATATTAAAATATGAACAATGACATTAAAACAAAACTGAATCATTAGCCTGCAATGTTACTAATTCAGTGAAACTTCAGGAAATAATGACTAAGCCTTGAAATTATTTGCTGAGAATTTCCCCATTCAACAGCAACATAACAGATTGTGTTACTGACATGTTGAAACTATGGGATAAAACTGGATCTTTTTGAGCAAAAAATGAGCGTGGGACGTTTTTTTCCCTTCCTTTTCTCATTGAGCATCCTTCCTGGGAGAAGCTGAACTGGGAGCTTGTACAGAAACTATATTCTTTGTTCCTCACTAGTGTATGGATTCCAAGAACAAGTAAATGGCCTCCTACGAGGACTTCTAGACTTAATTATTCATGAGCTCTCTTGCCAGTTCTGCTTACTTTTAAAATTTCTCTTACGTTTTAAAATCGGCTGTCATCTCTGGACAGATAATGCATCAAGAAAGGTAGAGTTCTATGTAGCACTTATGGAGAACAATGCTTTCTGTGTTTATATTCGGTTATTAAAAGCAGAATGATAGTTTGGTTATAAATCTTAATCTTATCTCCTCTAATGGCCACACAAACTGTAAAACAAAAACGTAACATAGCCAGTAATCAGTGTTGACTGCTTATTGGAGCATCATCTTTAAAGGCATTATGCTGAGCTTCAGTGGGCAGGAGAAACAGTCTTGGGTTGCTTCCAGAGCCCTGCCGGACAGGAGCCCCGCTCCCCAGCAGCTGGCACCAGGCACACTCGCTGCCCATGGCTCCTCTCTCACTACCCACGAGCAGCTACCCAGAGACTGTGGAAATGGCTCCCAACAAATCACCACCACCATTTGAGGTCCTGCTCATAGTCCTCTCTGGGAGATCCAGACTGGCCAGGTCAAAGGAGAGAACTAGGGAGAAAATATAAGTTTGAAGGGAATAATCAAAAGAAAGAAATTAAAAATCTGAAATCCACTATATTTGAGGATATTAAAATGGGCTCTCCTCTGTCTTGGAGTTTTAGCAGAGTTCCCAAAGGTGGATAACTCAGTGAATGCCAATGTCAATATTTTCACAATGAAGTGAGGTGCTGGATCAACTATGGAGGAGCTACCAAAAAATTGTGAAACCAGTTCTGCCAGCTTTAGTCCACCGCACACCTCCACGAGGATAAGAAAGGTAAAGAATTCACATGGAGAGAACTGCCAGGTAGAGAGGGAGAGGGGGTTCTCTTCCATCTGAAGTCAAAGGATGAGGGCTTCGAGGAATTATTCAAAAGCTTCAGAAGTGTCCCTTGAAGTTTGGTAAGGGACATATTTGCCTGGTGACAGAGTGGGGGAAGAGGATAGGGGACTTATGGGAAAGAGGGACAGAAGTGGCCAATGACTGTGCTCCTGGAAGGCCAGGTGAACCAGATGCCAGCCATCTCTAAAGGGATTAGGCCCAGAAAGGCAAATAACTGAGCAGAGATGAGACGCCCATAGGCTGAGGAAGGTGAAAAGCCTATGCAGGGTGAGGAGCGGGGTCCGCCAGAGGGAGCGGCCAGCACAGGTGGTAAAGCCTGTGTCCAAGAAACTGCAGTCAAAGACTCCCAGCCTGAGGCTCTTCAAAAAACAAACATAAAACCAAACCAAACCAACCAACCAACCAACCAAACAAACAAACAAACAAAAGGACCACAGAAGGGCCTCAGAAGAGAAAGAGGCAACAATTACACAAAGAGAAAGAGGCAGCAATTACACAACTCCTACCCAAAGATCTGATGCCACAAGACAGCTTCACCAACTCCACAGGACATCCCTTTCCAACAGTCATGTTGCCCCCCTGGGCTCTACCTTAGAGGCATCTGAGACGGGCTGGCTCACAGGGAAGGAGCCCGCAAAGTGGAGGAAGGCTCAAACATCAACTGCATACAAATCCGGAGTTTTTACATTCAAATAGATGGAACTCTTAAATTACTGACAAGGTTGTTCTTGTTCTTATTCTTAAAAGGAGTAATAAAAGCTACAGAACCTGCCCAAGACCTTATCCAGAAGCCCAGAGCATGGATTTCAAAGGGCAGAAGGAGAAACAGCCAAGTTACACCTACCTAGTCTCCTCCTTTCAATAAATCCGTTATCTGGTACTTAATGTTAATCTTTTAAATCCTTTGCCTCATTCATAAATGAGAAATTTCCAAATCGAATATAATTCTCTCTTCTCTAGGTGTATTCTTCCCTGCTCCTTGGGTTCCACTGAATCCCCCAGCATCATAAAAAAGGTTAAATTAAAAAAAAAAAAGTTAAGAATTGAGTTCATTAAAATTAGTTCTTTATCCTCAGAGTTTTCTCTACATTGATGGATTTAAAAAATCAATTTCGCTATTCATTTTAATCTCTTTCACTAAAGCACTTGTACCATTTTCTGGGGTTCTTCCCATAACTCAGACATTCCATCAGGTTTCAGAGAAGGTTTTTTTTTTTTTCTTGCTTCCTAAAGTGATTGCAGTAAGCAATTGTGTCTTTAGATTTCCCCCACTTCAGAATGAGCAACAACTTTAGTAATAGTCGCCTGAGAGTAGTAGTTTCGGGATGTGTGGAGGAATGTTCCATTTACTTGACTAATATTTTGAAAACAGAGCAAATTGTACTGCAAATTCCTCGCTAGCACTTTCAGTTTCATCTTTT